TTATCATCATCGAAATGATAATAATGATAATACATAATCCGGATTTTATCTTACAATTATGATATATATATATAAACAATTATTAGATTTGACCACAATCTTTTAACAAATAATTTTTTTTTTTTTTTTTTATCACGAATGAAACCCCCCATTGTTATTTTATTATTATTATTATTAATATTGATATACATTTTGATTAAACTATTATAATTATTATTATTAATAATTTCAGGGGAGATAACACAAAACAGGAAATAAATAAGAAGAAGAAAAAGGAAACGAACGTAGTACACATACACACATGCCTCTGTGTGTGTAAGCTCGCTTACTCAGAATTTTTTTTTTTTTGAATGTAATTTTCCTTTTAGCTGAATTTAGGGAATGAAAAAAAAAACAAGTTTTTGCTGTGTGTTGCTGACTCATTACAACTGGGCCCTTAACTGATTAAACTTTATTTTAACTCCTGTTTTTTTTTTTTTTTACCTGAGCAAAACCGTTAAAAACTAGTTTGACTCATAGTTTGCCCTTCTTATCCGAGTTTTTTTTTCGCATTCGTACATGCCAATATTGATTTAAATCATTGTTTATAGTTAAAAAGGTTTATTTTCTGTAGGTTTAAACCTACTACACATACACACGCACACACACACGTATGTAATCAAAAAAATGCGTTAAATATTAATTTTAGATGTGTCAATGACATGATGAATTTTTTTTTTTTTTTAATATAAAAACATAATTAAGCAGTTGAAGCATCAAAAACAAAGTTGATGGGCATAGAGCCAAAAAAGAAAGAGTTGGAAAACGTTCTTCGACGGATAATTCATTGTTAAATATTATAAACTAAAAGGAGTAAATGACCCCGGAGAGTAAAACCACACGGGCACCAACAACATAAATTGCATATTTTTGGACTTTTTTTTTTTTTTTGTTTTGAAATATCCAAAAAAAAAAAAAAAAAAAAAGTTTTTCGTCATCATCATCATCACCATTGATTGAACTCTTACAAAAACTATTTTCACTCTCTTGAATTTTCTCTTCTTTAATAAACGTGTGCGATAGAAAGAATTCAAATTAAACAATAAAAATACATTAATTCTAATAATATCGAACTTATTCGAAAGTTATTATTATTATTATTATTATAATTGTCTTTTGAAATTTTTACAGAAAAAAAAAATCTGTTTTTAGAATATAAACCTAAAAATAAATTTTAATAATTTTTATTTAAACTACTACTTGCAAAAAGGACAACAACCAAAAGGGTTACCCACGGGTTTTATATTTACTACAACAACAACAACCATTCATTTTCATTAACAAAAGGTTAACTATAACGTTTTATTAAAATGATAAAATTTAAAAAAAAAGAAAAAATAAATAAGGTTGAATGGAAAATACTTTAAAATTCATTCATTCATTCCTTATTATTATTATTATTATGGGTGTGCAATTTCACACGGGGGTCAGAACCTGAAATCCTGGAAATAGAAAAAAAAAAAAAAGTAACGCCTGTGCAAGGGAATAAAAAAATAATAGGTGGGGACTTTCGTTCAGTGTTTTTTTTTCTACTTTATTGTGTTTATGTTTGTGTTTGTGTTTGATTTTTTTTTTTTTTTGAATGCTTTAACGCAAATAATTGCATTTAAGTCCAATTATTTTACAAAAGATTAAAGTGAAAGGTAAACAAAAAATAACTTAAAATTATAATCCGTAACAGTTGTCAACCTTATTTTTATTTTTTTCCTTTATTACGCGTTTACCAGTTTTTTGACCGCTAAAGGTACAAACATACAACATGAATTTTTTTTTTTTTTTTTTTAAAAATTCCCATGGTCATTCGATTGAATAAAAACATAAAACCGTTCACTTTGTGTTCGGTGTTTTGTTAAAAATTAATTTTACTAACTTATTACATTGAAAAAAAAAATTTGAATTCATTAAAAGAGTCAAAAGGAAAATTCAAAGGTTTTCAAACCTTTTTTAATATGTTAATAAACAAAAATTCATCATTATTTAATACAGTGTGCTAGAGAGAGAGAGAGAGAGAGAGAGAGAAAACAATCCAAATGTCCAAATTTTTATTCTCACAAGGAAAAAAAGTGTACTCGAGTGATTATCAGTTTGCCTTCAAATTATCAATAATAATGAAAACTAATTGATTTAATAATAAATCCCTTTTCGATAAACTATTTATGTAATCTTAACATCACAAATAACTTTTAAAGCAAGCACTTCATGTAAACAATTAATCGACAATTTTTGAAATTCATACATCCAAGCGATTAATAATAATAATATATAACCTAATAAAAAAATTACATTCTCGAATAACTCCAATAAAAAATTATATTCAATCATTTAAATTAAAAAAAAAAAATAAAATTTTTTTTGGAAATGATTTAAATTTAACAACCAAACACAACAAACACAAAATCAGGGAAAAAAATAAAAAATTTCTAAATCAAATCGATATGATAAAAATAAATAATTTTTTTTTTTTGTAATTCTTGGTCAGTCAGTCGCTAACAAAAATAAATATTTATTTATTATTTAGGAAATTGATGAGACAAATATTATGAGCCTTGAATTTGAATTAGTATAACAACAAACAAACAAACAAATAAAAATTTTGTTTAACATTACAAACCGATTGATTCGAATGATTTTGATAGAAAAGAAAAAAAAAGAAAAAAAAAGAAAAAAGCAACAAACAAACAAACAAACAAGGTCTATCCAATGCACACATCTCTTCATTCAAACTAATTTTTTTTTTTCTCCCCCAAAAATAATTTAACCTTTTCGCATTGTCAATCGACAAAATATAAATATTTATGTGAAAAATGAATGATTTAAAAATCAAATAATAATAATAATAATTATGGTTCACATTGAATGAATATTGATAATAATAATAAGTTTTAAGTCATAACAGAAAAAAAACGACTAAAAAACACTAAAAAAAAAAAAAAAAAAAAAAAAAAGAAAACTTACTTTTATAAAGGTGATGTTGATAACTGATATCACAATCACCAACACCGTGTAGCAACATATTCATTTAAAAATATCACCAAAATAAAATAAAATATTTAATTATTATTATTATTAATTAAATAACGATGGATCATATTCGAATGTTTAAAATATTAAAAAAAAAAAAAAATCACAATAATAAGCACATTTGGCACGAATTTCACTAAGAGCTGAGTCTTTCTAACAACAACAACAACAACAAACTCACAGCAATCT